CAAAGGATGTCATAGTTATGTAATAAAAACTCTAAAAATTGATAAAAACAAAATATAGAAAATACAAAAAATGTCAAAAAAATTATTCAAGCATTTAATATCATACATTTATCATATTAAACAAAGGCTTCTTTTAATAAATGATATTTTTGCTAAAAATGGAAATGAAAATACATAATTTAAATCCACAAGCACACCATGCTTTGATTACTTAATTATCTTTTTATAATGGTTTCAAATAAGCATATTAAAATTAGCATTTTATTGAGCTATTATTGAAGTTAATACATGCAATGCACATACACATTTACTAGTTAATGAAAAACATCCCAACCTTCTTCCAAGTTCCAATGATGTTGAGGTGGATTCAGTTGTTTTACTTTCTTAAGGATCATAAAGTGAATATCGATAGTCGAATGTTGCCACTAATATGTTGTTATTATCCATGATTTGATTGACTTCTCTCCCATTAATTCTATTCTTCTAGATAATCTTAGTAGGGGTGAAACTTGGGTGGACCTAACCCGAGCCTAAACAATCCTAGCTTGTAATATATGGTCTGAACTTGGATTTTTGGTCCTTAGAGTAGGCCTGGCCCCAAAAATTTGGGCTATTTTATTTTTCGGGTTGGGCTTGGGCCTAGCCCTTAGGTAGCCCGAGCCCTAGCCTACCCTTATCTTAACCTTGTATTTTTTATTTCTAAATTTGTATTTACATTGTACATATTTGTATTTGTACTCTTTCCAAACTGAACCTAAGGGGTAACTAGAAAAGGCCGTTAAAAGTGTTCAACTTCCCCCCAATTACTTTTGTTGGTATGCTCATTATCTCTAAGTGATCTAGGAATGGCAAAGGGGCAGGTCACCCCCTCCCCATCCCCGCTTCGTGGCTAAAATCCCCTAACCTGTCCCTGCCCCATCCCCGGTATCGGAGTAAGGATTCAACTCCCATATCCCCCCACCCCCACCCGACTATACATACACAGTGCTGCTACTTGTAAAGGATTCATCAATGGAAGGGATTAAAGGGAAGAAGACCAGGCCACAAGTATATGCATTATAAAAAATTAAAACATCATTATATTACCAAACTGCACTCTATGGTACCTAATTCTTCTTGCACACCAGGAATACCAAAAAGAAGATTGGAAGAAGAAGAAAAGAGTTTCATTAAGCTTGATAAAAGTTGAAGAGGAGACTAAAGCAGTCCCCCACAAGACTGCCCTCCACAACGTCCCATACCACATCCCCACCGTGTATTGGGAACATCTCCCGATGATGATATCATCATTCTTGGTATTATCATCAGTACACGGCGGGGATGTGTTGTGGGGTTTATGGGGGGCTGATTTGAACCCGTTAAAGAGGTTTCAGATTTTAGGATAAGACTAATACAAATGCATGAAAGTAAAAACATAAGAATTCAAATTGTGGTCCACTGTTGCTTTGGTTTTACTATGATTAGCTTCAGGTTTTGTTTTACTTCACCTACAATGCAAAAAAAAAACAAGACAAGGCTAAAGATAAAACAAAAATGAATCAAATTTAATGCGGTATGAAAAACGTCTGAGCGCATTAAGTCATTGGCCTGCCTCTTACAAATTCAGATCTAAAAATGCATTTCAGATCTGAATTTTCAAATTCAACCCAAACATAAGTGATGTCTGACCAACAATATTTTCAGACTAGTTCAGAGATTTAAAAAGTGTTATCAAACATCACCTAATTGTCACTACCCCCAAGTACAATACAGGTGCAAGTTGAGTGGGCTAAGTTGAGTTTAACGTCAACCCAAGCCCAACCTTAAACATTAATCTTTAAGACTCGATCTCGAACCAAGCAAAAGGTCAAACCCGGTCAATCCAATTCGAGCTTAGCTCAAAGTAAAACATACATGTTGTATTTTTTAACTTTCATTATAGTCATTTATCATGGCCCTCTACAAACCCATGATTCATGGCTGCACTGCATGACATGAAACTATCTGACCAACTTTTGTCATACCATCAAGCCTTAACCTATGATGATTCCCTAATATCCCCTTTTCGTACATCCCTCCTTGGTGGAGATCCACCAGCTCATCAAATACAATTAGCCTTACAACACATGGAACCCTCCTTAGCCACCCAACAAAATATCCAAATAATTGCCCCAACTTTTCACTAGCATAACCTGATCAGCCAAGAAGGCCCACCCATAAGCAAATGACTAGCTTTTAAACTAGTGTCCTCTCCAACCAAAAACTTGCCCGGATCAAAATCCTCATCTCTCACGTCAAAATCCTTTAACCATTATCTAAGACCCACTAAACTCAAGGGTCAGGCTCCTTCTCATTCGGCGGTCTTGTATAACAAGTACCCCTTTCAATATAAACTCGAGAGCAATGGTAGCCCTACCGACTGGTTGGGGCTGTCAGGCCAAATAGGATCATGGCTTGGAACTATTAGGGCTTGGGGTAGGCCTTGGCTGTTCATGCTCTATGATCCCACATTTAGGATCATATTCATACCCCAAAAATTCTAGGGTTTTTTGGACTGCACTCCCCCTTAGAAATGCGATTTGCAGTCCCCTCTTAGTCTTCTAATAGCCCTCTCTATAAACTGCATCCTACCCGTAAATCCAACATTAATCCATGGACAGGATTCCAGTCCACCACTAGAAATCCTAACTCCAGCTAGGGTGGACTGAACGGTAAAAACCCCAAAATTCTATTCATTTTGGAGACAAAATTTGTGTCTAGCCTAATTACCCCTTTCCTTAATCGCAAAGTCCATAATCTGGAGCAGTTTGTCTCTCTAGGGGCCCTTATTATTGTTGCATGGAAGTCTTGACGAGAAAGCACAAATCAAATGTTTGGAAAGAAGTGTTTACCTGTGTGTTGGGTTTTAACAGGAGATTTCAATGCAATCATAAATCTTGATGAGAAATTTAATGGGAGGAACTATATGGCCAGGGACTTACCTAGTTTTAAGACTTTGTTATGGGACTTTAGGCTGTCTAAGGGGATTCCTTTTACATAGGACAAATAAAAGATAGGGTCATGGTTTTATTTGTGCCAGGTTCGATCATTTTTTTTTTTTGGCTTGTATAGATTGTTGGAAAAGGAATCTAGAGGCTATGGTGTTTAGAGAAGCTCCCTCAGGGTCTGATCATGGGCCAATGGTCCTTCGCTGCTCTCCTTTAACCAATCAAGGACCACACATGTTTTTGTTTTGGGGCCATAATGTGAAGATGTGATAAGTTGGGGTGTCCATGAAAAACCGAAAAATCGAATTGAATCGAAAAAATTGAACCAGAAAATGTGGTCAATTGAATCGATCAGTTCGGTTTTCAATTGATTACCCTAGAAAAAATGACAGTTAATCGAATTGACCGGTATATATATTTATATGTATTCTTAAATATATGTCACATATTTTCTATATATTATATTATATATCATTTATTATTTATAATATAATATTATATATATATTTATATAATATATTATAAATATAAAAGCCAAAAAACCAAAGAATCGAACCAGTTAAAAATCAAAACCAACAGACCGATTAACTGGTGATACTGATTCAATTTCGGTTTCAAAAAATTGAAAAACCAATAAAACCGATTCAATTTACAAAAATTGTTCATAATTCAATTAACCGAATCATAAACACCCATAGTGATAGCTTAATCTGAGGGGTTCAATGAGCATGCTTTCCCCTATGGACAAAGTTTGCTATAGTATTAAAGAGTGCTCTAATCATCTTCACGGATGGAATAACTAATAAGCACCATTTCAATAACATTGATGATTGGGTCAGGGTAGCAAAACGGAACCTCCAAAAGTATCTTGAGCATCTAGTTGATGGAACAAGTCAATAGACCATTAACTTCCTAGAGAGATAAGTGACTCCAACAGGAGGAATTAAATTATTCTAGCATTAGAAATCTAGAATAAGATGGATTAAGGAAGGTGACCAAAATACTCTGTTTTTCCATCAAATAAAATTGTAAATAAAAGGGCTTCAAATAGGACTCTTCATCTTCAGTTGAATGATGGGAGTTTGATTAGCTTTGAGTTTGAGGCAGAGATCATTCAGTATTATTGCTCTTAGTTATTCTCGGCTTAGAACTTGATCTCTACTAGGACTAATCATATTTTCAATTCCATTGCAAAGAAGCTCACTCCAAAGGTAGCTTCTAAGTTGTCCCTTCCTTGGTTTTTAAAACCGATCTAGAGACCGAATCAGTTAGGGATTTGGTTATCGGGTCAAACGGTCTGATTGTTCAAATTGAATGATCAGTTCGTTCTGACAAAAAAAAATAAAAAACGGTCAGAACTGTTCGAACAGTTAACCCCTTGAGTCAATGATTTATAGACCAAAATCAATAGTTTTTTGAAAAAATTCGGTTTTTGAGAAAAACAGAACCAGTTCTCAGTTTTTCAATCTGACCGTCCGGTCCGGCCCGGTTTTGAAAACCATGGTCCATTCTTTTCATTGAAGAAGAAATCCACTTTGTAGTCTTATCAATAGCGCCCTCAAAAGCATCGAGCCCAGATGTCTCATCCTTTTTGGCTCTTCCACATGGCAACATAGTTTGCAATAATTTCTACCACGTGGAATATCTTAGCCCAAAAACTTTGCCACGTGTCTAAAACAAAGCCTTTTTCATATACATATTTTAAACTCAAAAATTGAAAATCTGCGAAGATTATTAATGACATTTAGGATAGATCACGGTGGAATGGATCAGTCATAAGTACAAACATAAATGGATCACCCAAAGTTTTGTGTCCCTCATAAATGGATTTTCCCAATGGTTCCTCCACTTGGGCAAAAAAGTGGAGTGCTGTCAAAAATCAAAATGAGAAACCAAGTTCATTCAATTATACCCCAAAATCACCCATGTGCAAGGCACGTGCAAAATGAGTGCACTTCTAACCATTCGATTAAGGTAAAATGGAATCAAATCAAGCACCAATGGAAATATTAAACACGTGTAAAGTAGATACTAATCCAACGGCCATCATTAAACCTAGATGGTAATTATTACATCACTGGCTCACTGCCCAACTGTGAACTGTCAACAACCTCCTTGTCTATAAATTATAATGGAAACTGGAATCGGCAAGAAGTCGCAATTCCAACGAATCAATGAGGATATTTCAGTAATTTCAAAATCCACCGCGTCTACAAAATTCCTCATCTCCGAGACTCCTCCGACCCATTCAACTAATATTCGTCGCTCGGCCTTTTCCAGAACCAGAGACAGAGCCTCGAAGCAAAGAATTGAAGGAGAGAGAGAGAGATGGCAGCTCAAGCAATCGAGAAGTACAGAGAGAACGCAGAGATCTACAACGGAAAGGCCCTCTGCAAGGAGAAGTCGCGGCAGCTGCTGGAGGAGATTGCGCTGCCGAAGGGTCTGTTGCCGCTGGAAGACATGGAGGAAGTTGGGTACAACAGGGAAGCCGGGTTCGTGTGGCTGAAGCAGAAGAAGAGCACCCAGCACAGCTTCAAGCGCATCGGGAAGAATGTGTCGTATGGGACCGATGTTACGGCCTTCGTGGAGAACCGTCGGATGAAGAAGTTGACTGGGGTCAAGAGCAAGGAGCTCTTGATTTGGGTCACCATCGCCGAAATCTACATCGACGATCCCGCTTCCGATAAGATCACTTTCAAGACGCCGGCCGGGATCTCCCGTTCGTTCCCCATCTCTGCTTTCGAGCTCGAAGAGGAAGAAGAGAAGAAGAAGGAAGAATCCGGCAAGAACTGAACTGAATTGCTTCTAAGAATTGTAAGGGAGTTGTACTTTCTATTGATGGGATCTCTACTGTTACTCTGTGTAGAAGGCCGATATAATTAAGAAGGAGAATAAAGAATAAAAAAATCAGGTTCGGTTTTCCTAGATTACCCTTACTTTTATATATTGGAGAAACTAATTACACTTTAAATATCATATGTAGATTTGTAATTTTATATTTTTATCATGTATCTAAAATTATTAGGAACGGATCAAATTTGAATCACAATTTATAAGATTCATCGGGTTGATATTAAATTCGGATCACCCTAAAATTTTATAGAACCAAATCCAAATGGGAGATGGAATGAATCGAATTTGAACCACAATTTATAACACCCATCGGGTTCATATTGGATTCGGATCACCCCAGAATGTTATCGAACGGAATCGGATCGATCGATCCCTTGCAGAATTCGATTTGATCCGTTTGCACATGAAATCATCTCATTGGTTCTGGTATAGAGAAAGTGTTTCGATGCCTTATCTTCAATGCCATTCAGTCAATGTCCAACCCGACCCAACCGACCAACCCGGACCAACCCAATCCGAGTCGGCTGGGTTTTCATCAGTACCGGTCAGTTTCGGGTTGGGCAAATATATAAACCGACTTGAACTGAACCAGTCTTCTACTAGTTCGATAGTTCTTAGTTTGAGTAGTTTCCTACCTAATTATAACTAGTCTTCTACTAGAACTAGAAGGCCCATTGGGCAATTACAATTAAAATAGGCAATCTATCATAGTTTTTAACTTCTATTATCTTTTACACCAAATAGACAACCCGTTAGGCAATTATAATTAGAATTCAATTAGGTGTCCTTTCGTACAGGAGCAAAACCGAAACCGACCCAACCTGACTCAAACCGACCAGGTCGGTTTGGCCTATCAGTGGGTCGGTTTCGGTTTCCACCTCAGGTAACCCGACCAGGTCGGGTCGGTTGGGGAAACCCCAATAAACCGACCCAACCCGACCCGTGAACACCCCTATCTTCTAGCGGTGATCATTTCAGCCCGGCCCGGCCAGGCCCGCATAAGCTCGGCCTGTAAATTCTGGGTTTGGGCCTAGATTTTGTGTTCAGGCCTGGCTTGGCCCCCAGCTACATCAGGCCCGTAAATTTTAAAGTCGGGCTTGAGCTTAATACTTCGAGTCTGGTCTAGGTCTGGGCCAATCCGCATATAATTAAATTTATACATTTTGTGTATAATGTATATAAGAGTATAACTTGAGCGGGCCTAGCCCAAGCTCGAACCGGCTCAACTCGGAATTTTACATGGGTTGGGCTTGGATTTTCGGTCTTTGGGCTGGGCTTGGGCCCAAGGTGTCGGCTTTTTTTATTTTTTGGGCCATGCTCAAGCCTAGCCCGTAGGTAGCCCAAACCCGGCCCGAGCCCAACCCAATTATATACATTTATACATATATGTGTATATATATAAATGTTGCATACATAGTTACATATATATACATACATATTTATATATATAACTTTTGTATAGATATTTTGCATGCATATTTACATACATAAATAAATATATCTATATATATTTGTATAAATACATTTATATATGTATAATTTTAGAGTGGGTTCATTGATCAACCTGAGCCTAGATCGGGCCCAAGCCCAACCCGAGTGCATCAAATTACAGGGCAGGCTAGGCTCGGGTTGGGAAAATTGGGCTTGACCTCAAGCTCAGGCCAGGCTCGGGCCTTAAGCCCAAAATTTAGGATCGGGCTTGGGTTGACCATAAACCTGACCCAACCTGCCCGACTTGCACCCCTAAATGTATAGATATGTGTACATGCTATTTTACATTATATTATATATTTTATATATAAATATTATAACATGACATGTATAATTTATATTATATATAATATTTTATATTATATAATGTATAAAATAAGTTTATATGCATGTTATGTCATTTAATATAAAATATTATAGATATGTAATGTTTTATATGAAAGGCATTGGCCCAGAATTAGGCTTGGCCCGGCCCCGGCCCGTGTAGACTTGGGCTAGGGCTTATGTTTCAGGCTCAAAACCCTAGGCCCAGGCCTAATCTATAGCCCTTATCATAAGTGCAAAACCTGGCCCGGCCCATGATCACTCCTACTCTCTTCCAAACGGGCTCTACGGTGGTGTTTGTCAAAAATCATTTTTTTTTTTTCATCCAAGAAGCCGAAAAATCGCTTTTAAAAGATCATTTGGGAATGTTACACCAAATGTCAAAATGTTTCTTTTCTAATAAGCAATTATTCAAAATAAATGCTTATTTAAAAGCGCCTTTAGAAAGGAAAAGGGCCCTACACAGGGTAGGTTTGCAATTGGGGTTTTGGGTGTTTTTTTAATATATGTTTGGCATCGATTTTGCAGATACTATGCTGATGTGTGGGTTGGAACCACTGCTTTCTCAGAAAACAATCTTTTTTTTTGTTTAAAAATGTTTGCTATCAAATAGGACATTTCCTGGAGTAATAACAACACCTTCTGTTTGGTACTAGTGCTCCATATCTGTTTTCAACACTAATACTTATTATAGGAAGTCCACGTCATTGCCATATCATGTCCTTGTTGGCAGCAACGAGCTCCAGTATAAGAAAACGTCAAATTCAGCATTGCTCCAAACCATGCATTCTCGATTTCCAAGGCATGGCTTGGAGTACCATTTTTTATGGAAAAACGGTTCCAAACAAATTGGCATTTCCTGGAGCACCGTTTTTTTCGACGTACTGTTGATGTATCACCGTTTTCTGGAGCAATGGCTTCGATGCCAAACAGACGCTCAGTGTAGTCCTTTCTAATGTTTGATGAGGTGCAACTTTTTCTTTGAAAAATATGAAATGGGTTTTAGGCTCCATTTGTTTGCGATACAAATGTTGAATCGTGGTATTTATGTACTTGGTTTGCATTTGCAAATATTTGTTTGACATGTAAAAAAGTAATAATTAAGAGATCAAAAATGTATTTTCTAACATTTTTGTATTATGTGAAGAAAGCATTATTTTACCTATTTTTTAGATACAATTTTGTGCTCTTCATAATTTTGCTATTTGACCAAAGCTTAAGGAGGTGGAACAGTAGTTGAGCATTAATGATGGGACCCATGCTTTGCATTGATTTCAAATAAACAAGATGAGTGCAAAAACGATTTAAAAGTGTGAATAGTATTTGCATTCATGAACCGGAAAAAAAGGTTATTATGTAGAGTATATATTTGCATTTGCATCACAACCAAACGCAGCCTTATGTTAAAAAAAGCCAGCCAAGTGTTATTTTTGAGTGCTTTTGGTCTTTTAATGCAAAATTTGGACTTTTGCTTTTAAGTAAAAAAAGAAAGCGTTTGCAACTTTTTACCAAGTATAACTTTTTAGGTTAAAAAAATTAATTTTATCCTAACGAAAACATATTTAAGCTTTTCAGACACCAAACTAAACTTTTTTTTTTTCATATAGGGCCCGTTTCGGACCTTCCCAAACGGGCGTGAAAGAGTCCCGTAAAATAACGACACTAATTAAGAAGGAAAAAATCTATGACATGGAAAAGATATGATATAGAAATAGTTTTGACCAATCAAAACCAATGTATGAATTTTGACAAATAACACCTGATTTGTTATCACAATTATAATTTCAATTTATTGATTAATTGCTCTTCGGACCATATCTTTTTCATATCATAATCGAACCCGAACGGTGGAGGCTGTAGGCCCAGCAGCATGGCCCACTAATCAAATTTCACATATTCCTGAACCGACCCACACGGCCCACAAGAACTATGGCGGGTTATTACTAGTCCCTACGCATTTATTTATGGGCCCAGTGACCTAGGAATCAAGATGCTGCTTTGATATGAACTGCATTAATTTCTTTCTCCCCTATCATTTATCTATTTTATAGTTTTTTAATTTGTATTTTTAAAATTAAATAAAATAATTTAAATAAAAAGTTAAATTTAAGTTTTAAAGACTTTTATCTCTCCTCATTAACTCATTTGATTATCTTTCACTAATCATTCTCATTCCATTAAATTTCTCTCCTCTAATAACACTTTCCACTAATTCTTTCTCCTTTGACTTATTCCATTAAATTGCTTAAAATTTATTGACTCCTTTTCCTTTTCTTTCTTTTTTACCTATTTATTTTTATTTTATTCACTCTTCCTTCCTCATTATCTAATAAACCAAAAGCAATTTGCTTGTGGGTGATTATTTCAGTTTGGCCTTAGCTCGTGCCTCAAAAAATATAATTTAAAGCCCAATAAATAGAATTAATAAAAAATTACTGAAGTCAATAAAAAATATTAAAATTTTACAATTTTTTATCTAGCAACTATTAAAAATTAAGAAATTAATGAAAATTAGTAGTTTGTAAATTAAAAATTAAAATAAATTTGAATTCTATTTAAAATAACTAATATTAAAATGATAATTCAAATTAATAATAAAAAAGTAAAAACAATATTAAAAGTAATAAAACAAATAATTTGCTTTCCATATAAAAATTATTTAAAATAATAAAACTAATAATGGCCCAATTAGAAATATCATAATACTCCTACTTAGGGGTGATCATTTATTACCTAGCCTAACCTAGCTAGACCTACAAATTTCCACGCTAAAAGAACCATCTTCTTATAAGATAGATTTAGCTCAAATCTATACCAAGTCCACACATAATGTGGGCACTGGTCAAGGCCTAAGCTAAGCAACCCCTAAGCTTGACCTAGAAGTTATATACATATATGGTAAATATTATTATATTATATTTAAATAACAAATTTTATATTAACATATAGATAAAATTTTTTATATATTTTTTTCAATATAGTAAAATTAAATGAAAATTTTAATTTGTAAAAAAATTATAATTTTATAATTAACACGGGTAAGTCTGTCCCTATCCCAAGCCTAGACAAATATTTTTACGCTTGGGGTGTGGGTCGAGTTAGGCCAGCCAGCCTTAAAAACTGTTAATACACTATCAAAATCTAGCTTGTGATCTTTTACTTTTTTATTTTTTATTTTTTTTGGTTCATTGGGTTACACAAATGGGGTTAGCCCACTCCCCATAGCTCCTTTAGCTACTTTATTAATAATTTTTTGGCCTTTTATAGTCCACTCTCCCTTAGAATTGTTTTACTAATTCCTCA